AGTATTAGTTCTTCAAGGGGAAGAATGCAAGACAAAATATCTTACAAAATGTTTATCAACATTTGTTATTACCTACCTCCTCGCGACTTGTTCACGTTGGCCTGCGTGTGCAAACGTTTCAACATCCTCCTAGACGAAAAAATTTTTCCACTATCTTCGGAAATTTGGAGAATGTCACGAGAAGGATTTACTACTTTTAATACGATGGAATGCCTACCTGGAATGACAGAACTTGAATTTATGAGATTATTGTTTTTTCAGAATGGGTGTCAAATATGTAGAAATAAAGATGTAACCGTGACCATATATTGGATTGCACGTATTCGTTCATGCATGAACTGTATATTCACAAAGGCTAAGAGGTAACTTGATCTATCGTTTGCATTCACTTTTCCTTAATCCTTTGACGCTGATGCGATCTCTCTTCCAGCCGGCAATCTCTTTTAAAGGGAAATTATGGAATCACTGATGAAATTCTCGGTGCTGTACCACCGCTTGTCCCGAGCCCTGACGACGAAATAGACAAGAGCTTTTATTGGATGCCGCACATTGTTTCAGCAAAAATCAAGCACGCGAGTCTTGCAAATAAGAAAGAAGTCAAAATGTGGGTCGAAGCTATGAAAAGCGAAAACTTTATTGAACTTCAGCAAGCCACTCAATATCATGAACTAGTTAAAAGGGCATGGAATGAACAGATTCAAGAACGCGAGTTAAAGCTCAAAGATATCATTCGAGAATTTTGTCAAGATGTTGAAACATTTTGCCGAACTCCGTTATCTCTGAATTTTATGAAGAGCGTCAGGGTAAATCCTTTCATTGAACCTGAATGGGAAAATTATCGTAAAAAATTGATTGAAATTGTAGGACAGGAAGTTCAAAAAAATCCATCGATCGATAACGCGCCCAATTCAAAGTCAGTGAAAAAAAGCCTTTATGATTTTATGAGGGAAAATATCTGTAAAAAGCTTAGAAATCATACTTATTATACACAGCCGAATGATAGCAAATCAAAACCATCTTTGAGCATTGAAGACGACTTTTTTAAATATATTCTGCAGTGTCCATCATACAAAGTTCCTCCTATAGACCCTCGTTTTCCTAATCCGGTGCGCAGATATTCTTATTCCGAAGAATTTTGGAAGACCCGACTTTTCCCGACTCTCCTTAACGAGGCTGAACGGTTGCATTCATCTGGAGTTAACTCATCTATTTGTATATTCGATCCGGCCGTGTTGGGAGGGATGGTGAACAATCAATGCCCCCTGTTCGGATGCCAATTATGTGATAAAGACTTTCAATTTAGTGGTTTTGAAAAAACGAAAAAGCATATGTCCAAGGAACACAAGATCCTGACCGAGTCAGAGAAAATAAGAGAGATGAAAGTAGACAAAGCGAAAATTATTGACCACTTGCCTACTATTTTTAGTCTACGTAACTAGTGTTAATTACGTCTAGGGGATAGTATGTATTCTTGCATTCACTTTTTAAGCACTATGTCTGTGCTAACTGAATCTTATCTGCGAAAGGATATCCGAGTAGCGCCTTCGAATAATGTATACGACATGTATGATTTTCATGGTGATAATTAAAGGGAGAACTTTGACGTTTGCTCTGATTATATCAATTTACTGAATTACATTTAATATTACATCTGAAATAGATTTTCAACAAGGGGAATGAACACTTCTAGCCAACCCCTCTATCCTTCCTTTGATTCTTCATCCTCAACCTCCTCACGTTCCAAATCCTCCTTTTCCAACAAATAATCAATATCCCCGACTCGCCAACTCCAATTTATTTCTGAATCCTCGTAATCCCCAACACC